GAATGTCTGTTAGTGTAAAGCGCTTTGGGGTCCGGAGGGACTTGAAAAAGCGCTCTATAAGTTCAGTACCATTTACCATTTACCCTTCCAGCCAATCAGCTGAAAGGAGAGGACATCAGATAATTAGACAGGTAAAATGACACAGACACATCACGCTTCCACCCTTAAATGCTGTATGGTGGGTTAAAACACCATTCAGCAGCAGCATACTGAACGGGACAATGTGTCAGCCAAGATGTTGTCTTTACCTTCGATGTGCTTTACCTCAAGATGAAAGGATTGTAGATAAAGGGCCCACCGCATCAGTCGTTGGTTAGAGTTGTGCATTTGCTGAATGAAAACAAGTGGATTATGGTCTGTGTAAACAAGAACTGGACAGTTAGATGAGCCAAGAWACACTTTAAAATGTGCCAATATCTGTGCAAGTGCCTCCCGGACACGTCACAGTGCAATGTTTACTTCTTTCATCAGACATTGATGAGTGTCTGGCAGAGACCTCGGGCTGTGAACACTACTGTGTCAACACACTGGGAACATATCAATGTTTTTGTCGACAAGGTTTCCGTTTGGATCAGGACCGGCACTCCTGCATCTGTGAGTAACTACTGTATCGAGGCAAATGCTGCACAGGAAAAAAAAAAAGATTTGTCACATTCAGCAGCAATCAAAAAGGATAAATGTTTATCACGTGTTTTACTTCATGTGTTTAGCTCTGTATGGCAGCGATACGGAAGAGGAGGAAGACGAAGAACAAGAGGAAGAGGAGAAGCTACAGGCTGACAGATTACTAGACATGCTGTTTCGAAATGCTCCTCAGCTCCTGCATCACACAGCAGCCCTGCGCTCCCGTTACAGCATTAAAGAAGAGTTAACTCAGGAGGAGCGCAGAGGAGAGCTGAGACTGGAAAGCCAAATAGGTAAAGTAAAAGCGTTAATGACTGCGTTGATGGAAGAGCCTGGTCAAAACCTGTACTCTGTTTATTGCTCTTTCAGTAAATCTTCACACAAGAGGAGTTACTCTGAGTTTATCATTTCCTCTTCAGTGTGTTTCGATGGCTCCTTTGGGGATGACTGCAGTGTGACCTGTGAGGACTGTGTGAACGGAGCATGCAGTGAAAGCAGGGACCGGTGTGAATGTTCGCCAGGCTGGACCGGAACTGTCTGTAACGAGAGTAAGAACCGTAAACGATTGTGTGCTTTTAATCTTTTCAGAGCTCTGTGGTTCCTTTAGCATTACCTGTTGGAGTTAATCTTGGTGGTCTGTTAGCAAAATACCATTTGAACCACTGGACTGGCCATAACTTTTTCTATACAGATAATGAAGTTTGATGTTGAAGGTCATTTGCAACACACTGTGAAAGTGACTCTGAAAGTATCACATTTTTCAAGGTTTGACCAAAATGACAAAAACGCTGTCATGTCACAACATAGGATGAATCTAATGCTTCATTCAAAGAATGCATACATACATTAATACAGTACTTGGCTTTCAGTGYAAACCTTGACTCTTAATTCCACATGGGAGTCAAGCAGACTTGTTTATTCTGAAAAAAGAGAAAAGGTTTTCACTATATATAAAACCAAAATTGGCAAGGGGGTGGGACTTTTGTGCTTGCTAATGTCTTTAAAAAAACACAGGAATGGATATTTTTTTTCTTGAAGTGGTTCCCTTTTTTTAGTTGAGCCCTCATTTGCATAGCAACACCTTTTTCTAAATGACTTTGTAGAAAATGGTAAAAAAAAAAATGCGAATAAACACAACATTGAAAGGTTGACAAAAAATTAAATATTTAGAATGTCATGTTAAAAGAAAAAGTAATACATATATTACATATAATACATATATTTTATATACACAATATTTGTGTATATAAGTATGAACACAATTATCATTAGCACCAATGAACAAAATACAAAAGCACTTTATGTTGATACATTTTCTTTGAATAATTAGTGAATTTAAACGGTTTACAAAAAGTTGTTTTGTTTTTGAAAACAGTAACGATAACAGAGATTATATTCTAAAAATATAATATGTTCTTTGGCTTTGTTCCCGCTACTAGGTTGCCCAAGGGGCTATTTTGGAAGGCACTGTAGAAGAAAGTGTAATTGTCCCAACAACGGACCCTGCCATGGTTTGTACGGAGCTTGCCTCTGCTCTCCAGGATTATATGGCCGTTTTTGCCATCTAGGTGAGTTAATTATAAAAATAAAAATAAAAAATAAAAATAAAATATAAAAAATGTGTTCTCATAATAGATGAGAATAAATAAGAATTTTACTAACATGATTGTTGTTTTAGTGACATTAGTAACAAAATAAGTATGCATGTAAAATATATTGTTTAGATGAAGAACATTTTGCAAAAGTTATATGAGGTTTCTTCAAATATTCATCCTTTTGGCTACAAATATTAAACTGATTCCTCACTCGGCGTGTTTGGACGTTTGGATGGTGGTACCAGATGAGAGGGAAGCTCTTTGGGGAGCCAGTGTCCCTCTAGCTTTCCCTCAATAAGGTGCATTGCTAAAGCGAACTCATCATTGTCCAACATGCCATCTTTATCAACATCTGCTAGCCTCCAGATATGGGCGAGCACAGAATTTGGCAGAAGAGTGGTTGTCATCCACTCCTTGACTTTGGTGCCGCTGAGTTTGCCGTCACGGGGGCTCAGGTTGTAGAAAATCTCGTCGTATTTGGGTTTAAATTTCTCCACGGCCCACTCCTCAAAATCCACCTCGCTGCTCTCGTCGTCTCTGATTTCCTTAAAGGGATCTTGCCTGAAATGCTCACGCCTGAATGTTCCCAAAAATTCTCCATCCAGCACGCTGGGGAGGGGTTTCTTCTTCTCCTCCTGCAGTTGGAGTAAGGGGACCAGCTTGGCTACATCTGTGGACAAAAGCTTATCCAAAGACGCCATCAGGCTTGGTTTCAGCGTCTTGAACTTTGAGAAGTCCTGACCCAGAAGTTTCTCCTGAAAATTAATACGATCTTTAGAACCTCACACAACACTTTGCAATAAATTAAAAGACATATCGTGCATCCTTCTTTAAAAAGTGGATTTTGCATATGTCCTCTTTAATATTAAACAAATCTTTGTTTTACCTGCATCTTTGTGCAGTCGGGGAAGTCTCCAGCTGGGACTCGATGCTGCTGCTGGATCTTGGTGAAAATCACAGGAAGCTGATAGATTAGGTTGTGCTTCTTGCTTTCTTTGCAAAAAATGGTTGGCATCTCCTGCTTCAGATAGCCGATGATGTGTGCATGAGCCTGAGAAGGGAACAGAGCAGATATAAAATTACCACGAAAGGTAGAGCGTTTATGAATGCAGCCCTAGAGTTAAAGTTCTCACCCTGACTAAGCGAGCTCTCTTCACCAGGTCATTCAGCTTGCGCACTGCAGCATTGCGTGGCAGGTTCCTCACATCAGCCAGCAGATCTTCCTCCTCCAGCTCGATCAGCTGGTAGTGATCGCACGACAGCCTCGGCTCCGACCAGAAAGATCCAATATAAACGCGCAGGATTTCAGGGGTTCGGAACACTTTCCCCAGTGACCACATGAGGGCGCCGTACGCTCTCATGAGCTGCTGCGAGTCGACCCTGTCAGCTTTGTTGAGAACTATACGCAGCTTGTCCTCATAGCTGTGCAGAGCCCCGAAGGCCCGGGTGAGCTCATCAGAGAAGTCCAGTTTATGAGCGTCAAACAGCAGGATGATCCGATCCACACGCTCTGCAAACCAGCGAAGCACGGCTGGGAAGTCGTAGCCTGCGCATAGCAGTTGAAACATGGGGTTTTCATTAGTGCAGTGTGTAATGGGGAAAGCCGAGCAGCCTGCAGGGATACGGGACCATGTAACCCATCCCAGTGGTCCTTGCTGGTTTCAAGCCATCCCAGTTACACCCACAGTTAAATACATTTTTAAAACACCACTTCTTCTCCCAGTGTTGTATTGTGAGTTGATGTTTTTTTTTTWTTTTTATTAGTTTCTTTTCTACAGCTTTTCTCACAGCAGTGTCGTCTCCTCTGAGTACACTTTATCACTAATTATTTGGAAGCAAAGGCTTAACAGTTCCTTCTGATGCTAACAGCATCATTAAAAGCATTCTGACTCACCTCGGCTAAGTTTTCTTTTTGCAGCTGTTAAGATGCCAGGTGTGTCGATTATGCTGATACTCTCAAGGACTTGATTTGGCATCTGGACACATTGAAACCTGCAAAACAATATATAATTATATATATTCTAATGGTTTAAGTTCAGGTATCTTTAGTGAGCATAAAGTAATAGTAATGAATTTCTATTATTTCTACATGACGTGTCAAACTCAAGACCTGCAGGCCAAATGTGGCCCATGGGTGACTTCTGTCCAGCCAGTCAAAAGCTCCCACTCATAATTTGGTATGAAAGTAGTTTTTATATCAATGGTAAACAAAGCAAGCAAATGTAAATGGTGAAAGGTAATTATACCTGCTGCCCCCGAGCTGTTGGCTCTAACTGTGGACCCATTGCAAATTAGCTGATTAGATGTGTATTAATGTCTCCAAATAAGCTGCTTCAAAACAGCATTGACCATAAACTGCATTTCTCATAATGCATGTTGATTATGYATGGGAATTTCCTGTCAGAAAGTGGTAGAGCTCAGAATTCAAGACTTAAAACAACTCGACAGTGAGTAAAACTCTCTTGTTTTTACTTTTGAGACTTTTTCTGTATTATTTGAATTGAATTGAATGATGCTTTATTGATCCCATGAAGGGAAATTACAATTTGGAACAACCCATTCAAGAAAAGAACTACTTGGAGAACATGTGCCCCGGGTCCAGCAGCCAGAATGAGGCGCTACCCTTAAAAAGGAAAAAGAAATGAGGATAAATGAGACTAAAAAAAGAACATCATGCTATGTCCACTCAGGACACAATATGAGGTACATAAAAACCCTGCACAGAGCAAAATCATAGCCAGCATAAGCAGTGATTTTATTTATGTATTTTATTTTATTATTATTATTATTTTGGGTGTGAAGGGGTGTTATCTGAAGCTTTATTGAAGATTAATTTTACATTTAGTCAGTTGTACACATAGTACTTGTCAGTGTTTATAAGAGCAAGTGTTAAATGCTGTTTCTGTGCAGGAAATACTACGTAGAGTTCAGTTATTGTTTGTTAGCAGTGCTCCGCCGTAGCAATGAGACGAGGAACATGATGTTTCATGWTTAGTCAAAGTTAAAAATCAAATATTGAAGTTAATTGCAACTGGCCATTTGAGGACCACCACAACACTTATATGGCCCTTGTTGAAAATGAGTTTCACACCCCTGTTCTACATAAAGAGATAACAAAAGACACTGTGAATTCCCTTCACCTGTTCAGAAACGAGTTTCCAAATGGATCAAGGTTGCGAAAGGGCATTTTTGGATCCACTGTTATGGCATTCCCAGGAATGGTTTGTGTCTTTTCTCCATACATGAGAGCTGTGAAGCAGTCAGTGGTCGGCTCCGGCCCGACTCTGCTGCCAGGAAAGTCTTCCTCTATGAGATACCTGAAGATACACGCAGCGTAAGCTACCACAAGTACCATCACTGATGTTTTAAATACAGCAGAAGTTGTGAGTTGTACCTGATGAAAGTCGTCTTTCCTGTTGAGTACTGACCCATCACCAGCACCATTGGTTTGTTGTCAAAGTCTGCATCTTCGTAGCTCGGTGAGTGAAAGTGATGGAAGGAGTAGTATTTCTCAATCTGCAGCAGCCTCTTGTAGTAAAGATTCTTCAGCTCCTCTGTCACCATATTGACATCTCCCAGCGTTTTAGGAGCACTCCAAAACCTCCGGATGGACATTTTGGGTGAGAATTCTTTTGCTCTAACTGCTCAGACTTTTAGGAGCAAACTGACTGATGGAAGAATGTGTGCAAAGATTATCAGCAGCTGTCTGCTCTATGCTACAGTGGGACAATGAGAGGGTGGAGAGGGTGTAACCGGAGCCTGCAGCTGCACCTAACATGAAGCCAGTGTCGAGAGGGACAGGGTGGAGTGCAGTTCAGTGTTTATTGATGAGGTGGGACGATCTTAGCCAAGATTCAGCCTCTGTGACTCTGGATGTGGCAGTGCTTTGGTATTTAAAAGCCCTTCTCAAGCATGATTTTAAATCCAGTGTCGGCATTACTTTAGATTATTTTCTTAATGCAAACTTAGAAAAATACAAAAGATAATCATTTGAACTTTGCAGTATGATTATCTTTTGTATTTTTCTAAGTTAATCATTTGAACTTTGCAGTATGATTTACAGGAAATTGGATAAATTTAGTCAAACTTAGACCAGCAAAAATCTGACTTTACAATAACACGGGGTGTTTATTTGACTTTTAGCGCAAATGAAATTCAATAGTGGAGACATTTTTCTGTCCTAACCACCATCTAAACTTTAATAAACAAAAGTTATCATGAGAATTAGTTTATTTTTTTGTGTTGTAGTAATAATCACTACACTGTGTTCTGGACCACTCCTCAGCTTGTCCCAGGTGGACCCACGGTGCAGGCTGTTCCAGGGAATGCGACTGCGTCCGAGAACATTCCGCTGGCTGTGACCCCGAAACTGGGAGCTGTTTGTGTAAGGCCGCACACCACGGTCCCCGGTGTGAGAAAGGTGTGAGTGCTTTGCCAAGTGTCACTTTATCTGAAGTGGAAACATTTTCAGGTGGACTGTCCTCCACGTTTGAGTCGGCTAGGAGTTGTTTTAGAGGCCACATTTATGGGTCAACACATTCACGGAATGATTTTCATCTGTTTAAAGGGGCAATATTATGTGTTTCTCAGGCATGTATTTAAATACTACACCATAATAAAGTATCAGTGTCACCTTTAGCTGTTATTAAAATGCTGTTTTTATGTTTTAATAAAAAAATAAACTTATCTTCTCATCACTTCCTCTTGTAAAACCCTTGAAATTGGCCTCTGTCTCTTTAATAACCACCTTCCGCTTCCGTTTTGCCCATTTTGATGTGTGTGTGTGTGTGT